AAACCCAAAACAAACAAAGAGCGTCCCTTTACATTTTTAAATTACCTGCACTGAATTTCAATCGGGGAGGAGGGGGGCGGGGGGGGGGGGGGGGGGGGGGGGGAGTGTGCATGCGGGTCTGTCCTACATTAGATTCTAAATACGTTTAGCTGTTAAATACAATCATAAGCATCAAAAACATGTCTATGTCACGTGATAAAGAACGTGTTTAGGTTTGTGTTTCGGATTTTACACATTTGTAGCACATACATAGCCGCGCAGATGTACACCCCAAGAACAGGACAAATGCGCATTGCATAGATTTCACCTCAACATACATGCTCACATTCACCCAGACATGGCCTACACTTACACTCCCACAGCCACAGACACCCACTAAACCCAAACCAGGGAGCAGGTATAACACATGTGGCCCCGTTCCACAAAGCGATCTTAAACTATGGAATCTGCGATAGTCGTAGCCCTAAGATCGCTTTGTGAAACAGGACCGCCTCCGTGGTCTAGGGATATAGCGTCCGCCCGGAGAGCGGGAGGTCCGGGGATCGATCTCCGACCGCGTCATACTAAAAGACGTTAAAAGATGGTACTTGTTGTTACCCTGTCTGGCGCTCGGCATTTAGGGGCTAAAACAAGGACCGGTCGGCTCGGAGTCAGTATACTGTGTCTGAGTGGGATATTCATATTAAACTGCGGCATGGTATCTCAGTTTGCTAGCACTATAAATCGGCATCAGTCCGGACTAGTACAAGCAGCCACACAAACACACACACCTACATGCACGTCGCTATATAAGTGGAATAATCTTGGACGCGACGTTAAACCCCATTTCACCTCACCTCACCATTGTGAAACAAATCCAGTGTTGTAGCGTGAAGGACTACAAATCAATCTGTCCAGGGACCACTTGCACAAAGCGACCTTAGCGCTAAGATGATCGCAACTCCCATACTTTAACATAGGCTTAAGATACTCTTAACAGTAACGTGGCTTTGTGCAAGCTGGCCCTGGACAAATTGTACAAAGGGTGGGAACTCCCATTCCTGAATATAGCCTTCCACGAGTCTTACTCACACCATCCTTGTACAGAAGCTTCTTCCATTTGCCTTTAGACTTTCAAAGATGCTTATTCAAATTGTGGTCATAATTGTATTGATTTCATCAAGACACTTTTCAAACATTTGTATGAAGGGAGGCATTTGTATTTGTAGAATAGATGCTTACTGCGCTAACAGGTAACAGTTTACCAGGTTTGTAGACAAAAATCCGGTATATAAATTGGATA